ATTAGATGCGCTGTATTCCCCAGAACGAGGGTGGTCGTGGGCGTTTAGCTGTGCTGTCTGGGATAGTTGAACCTTGCCAAGCACTCTGTCCTGCACTAGGAGTGGTGGCTAGCGATGCGACCTTCGCTTCCCTATGTTGATTTATTGGAGGCTGCAGAAACGTCTACCTGGGTTAAAACGGATCCATGAGTGCAAGTGCTGATGTTGCGCAGCGATATGCCTCAGAATACGCTGCAGGCGGAGCATACGTGCTGGTTTTAACACGAATACAGCCCTCAGCGCATTACCTGCAGCGCTTCCTGTTCTGAACTGAGGCTCACTCCGAACGGTTTGTCCTGTTTGTCTGCTCGTATCTTCTGTTTATTGGCGGGGCCAGTACAAAAGTTTGTGCCCAGCAATAATATCAATTCAACTTGGTGCTTCTGGAAGATTTGTGCATGCCCCCTGCTGACGCCGAGTCCGGTACATACATCCTGTGCGCCAAGTTGATTCTGGCCGGGGATCACGAAGCGCTTAACGAGTTTGGGAGCAGTAGGCATGCGGTGCAGAGTGTTGTGTTCCCGTTTGGTGGCGAACACGTGGGGTGTACGCATCATGAATTCACGTTTAAATCACAGGGGTGGATACACGCTTTATCTGATCTCGCTTACATGATTGAATCGTGTGAAATATTGACGGTGCGTGCGGCTCTTCTGATTTTTTTCCTTATCGCCTAGTCAAGATATCGGCGTGCAAATGATGATCAGAGGAGAAGAAATAACGGGTCTCTTTCGGCGTAGAGGAAGTAGGCAAAACGAGGCCGAGTCATCTTCTCTTCATAGAGCAATTGTAAACAGAATGTCGGATATGCATCTTACAGCTTCTTTAAGGGCTAATAAAGCATCAATGTACTGGATAGTAGAAACAAGAAACCCGTATTTAGACGTTGTCTTTGTTGAATTTTCTATGTCCATTAACCCAGCAGCAAACCGCATGCAGCAGCAGAGCAGCACGATGACCCTGTAGCCGAACCGCAGCAGGAATAGGATACTGCAAGGCTTGTGCTGCAAGACGAACTCCAGCTACAAGGCGATCAGCAGCAGGCGCAGCGAGGTCAGGCAGCAGCAGCAGCAGCACATTCAGCACAATTCAGTTGTTCTCGGGTACACGTACACTGTAGTGCCTGGCACTACAATGTCAGTGCCGGCTAGGCCGGACGCATAGTAGGTAACTAACGGTTAGCATAAGCACCCTAGAAGCAAGTGTCAACTAATCGTTTCATACGAGTGTAGTAGGATGAGCAGGGCCTAAACAAGCGAAGTTAATCGTTTCATACGAGTGTAATAGGATGAGCAGCGCCTAAACAAGCGAAGTAACGAGACCGTGAAAGGGTGCAGGCCTGGCCGGCGAGCGCTGCGAGCACCCCCGCATTGCTGGCGGGACGAATGCGGGCCGCAACCATAGGGGAAGCCCCAAGGCAGTCTTGGAGATCTATTCTCCCGCTGAATTACCAGCACAACCCTAACCGAAACCCAGGACATCACTTTCTTCTTTGAGGTTACGGGTCGCTATCGTTGTGATCCCTTCGTATGCCATTGAACGTACCTGTCTAGCGCTCCTCTCTAAGCTAGAATGCCTCGCAGGTGCACATTGATTCCATCTGCCTTGGTTCTTTAGCGGTAGCTGCTTATACCCCTATCGCGGAGCTAAATTCTTATGGTTATATATATATCATAAGGTGCACCCTCAGTTTTCAGAAACTTCGGGGTTTTTGAGCCTGAACTAATGAACCAAAAGGCATTACATACACCTTCCTTGCTCATTGGGAATAGGAAGACAGAGAATATTGGGGCTGTTGTTTAAGTAGTAAAGAGACGCAGAGAAGATAGACCGCCACGTGCGCTGCAAGATGTATTTGCGTTGCAAACGGAATTAATGCAAGGCCACAAGTTTTAATTTGTGCTATTCATAGTGGACAGAACTTGAAGGTGAAGCACTGCAGGAGCAAATAGCAGGAAAGCAGCATGTCGCAGATGATGGCATTGTCTCCTCTCCTTGAAAAGCTTTTAGCTTCTCTTCTTTCTGCCCTTTTGCCTTGTTTGCGCTGTCTCTGTCGGCCCTCGCGCTCCTCTCTGCTCTGCAGCAACCGCAGCAGGTGCAGACAAACAGCAACAAACGCAGCAGGAGCAGCAGGAGGCGCAGCCGCAGCAACAACATCAATCACAACACTAACAGCAACACTAGTAGCTGCAGGTGACACACAGCAGCCATATCACATTTAAACGGGACATCCGCACAGATGGACGTGAGCGTTTTGTCCGATGGGTGGCAGATGCAGCGTGGTCTGCCTGTAGTTAGCACAGGAGTCTTCATTTGGCTTTGGTAGGTTGCATGCAAACATATACCAACGCCGTATAAGCGTATACAGAGGTAAAGCATGCATTTGTTGAGGCTTCGTTTTGCTCACAGGTGAGGCTGTCTTGCAGTATGGCCAGCTGCAGCGAGGTGGACTGCAACTCCAGTTAGGTTGCATCTCCGCTGTAGCCCAAAGGCCCTCAGCTGAAGGCTGAGGATGCCTGGGGACAGGGGAAGGGGGCCAGTTGCCTTTGGCGTGCACCTCTTACCTGACATGTTTACATCCCTTGCAGCTCGTGCCTGGCCTTGAATAAGGCCGAGAAGCTCGCATTTCATTAGAGGTGTTCTCAAGTGGCGAAAAAGGAGACTTTCGGCAGGACATGACTTGCTTCCATCCAGAGCATCATTGGGGAGACATCCGACGCCTAATGAATAAGATACATTTGCCGATAGCATAGCGGACGAGCAGTGGAGCTCATGCGACGCTGTTGAAAGGCCGAGATGTGCTGCAGAGGCTCCAACCTGGGTGGTAACTCCCCTTTATTTGGGAGATAGTGGAGTGGTTGGTTGGTTTGAATGGGTTGAAGGGGAACTACAAACAGCACGGTCGCGGGAAAAATGCTGACCAATCGAACGGAACTGGTCTGCTTTACTTGCATTGAACGACACTTCTCGTAGTGTACACATTTCGAGCTATGAGCTCATCAGCTCCCCCTGGCCGGTTCGTAGACCTACTACGTATCATTTAGTTTGTTGTCATGCAAATTCTCCTGAGCCCTTAGCCCGTCTGGAGCAG